AAGGAAGAAGCCGAGGGGGAAGGAGGGAGGAGAGGGGGAAGGGGCGGGACAGAGGTGCCCGAGAGGGAAGGGAACAGAGGCTGCCGGACGCGGGGAACCGGCGATCGCCGCAGTGGGGACGGGGACCGAACTCGCGAACCGGGCGGGGCTCAGAGATTGGCCCCGCCCCCAACAGCTGCTCCCTCCCTATAAAGGGGCCGGGCTCCGCTCAGCCTGCCGGTGGCTGCACTTCCTGGCAGAGGCGGAGACCGGTGGTGAGAGACGACCCCCAGCCCCCGCCCAGGTACCCGGACAGGGAGAGAACCCAGGCTTCCGAGCGGGGCGGGGGGGAGAGAGGACCCAGGTATCTGTCTGGAAACGACGGAGAGAACCCAGGTGTCCGAGGGAGAGAGAAAGGAGGAATCGCCCTCGCCCCGTAGTCTGGACAGTGGGAGGGAGGGAGCGGAGAACCCAGGCGTCCGGGAGAGAAGCAGAGAACCCAGGCGTCCGGGAGAGAAGCAGAGAACCCAGGCGTCCGGGAGAGAGTGAAAGGACCCCCCGCCTCCCCACCTACCCCAGTGCCTGGACAGAGGGAGGGAGGGAGCGGAGAACCCAGGCGTCCGGGAGAGAGCGAAAGGACCCCCCCCTCCCAGCAGCCTGGACAGAGGGAGGGAGGGGAGAACCCAGGCGTCCGGGAGCAAGAGCAGGATAGGAACCCCAGGAGCAGGGAGAGAGAACCCCCCCCCCGCCGTTGTCTGGGGTGGGGGGAGGAATCCGCAGCCCTCACGCTGTCTATCAAACCCTTCCAGGTGCTGGGATGGGGGAGGAAGAGGAGGAGAGGAGGCAGGTGCCGACTGATGGGGGTGACCCCCCGGGTGCCCCCAGGCTGCCTGTGGGCCCCGTCACCCTGAACGTCGGCGGCAAATTTTACAGCACCACGCTGGAGACCTTGACCCGCTTCCCCGACTCCATGTTGGGGGCCATGTTCCGGGGCCCCCGGCCGGCCCACACCGACCGGCGGGGCCACTACTTCATCGACCGCGACGGCAAAGCCTTCCGGCACATCCTCAACTTCCTGCGGCTGGGCCGCCTGGACCTGCCCGAGGGCTACTCGGAGCTGGCCCTGCTGCGGGCGGAGGCGGACTTCTACCAGATCCGGCCCCTGCTGGCCGAGCTGGCCCGGCTGGTGGCCGAGCGCCGGCGGCACCGGGCCAACGCCGTGCTCCACGCTGACGTCGACTGCCAGGAGCGGCTGCTGCACTTCACTGTCCGGCGTGGGCCGCAGAATTACGGCCTCAGCACCTGCCCGCTCCGCGTCTTCACCGCCAACGTCTTCTGCACCGACGGGCAATTCTTGGAGCTGCTGGGCGCCCGGCTGGGCCGAGCTGGAGACGCCGGGGGAGCTGGTCGCCGGCTGAGCGATCTTGCCGAGGCTGAATCCAACCACCGGCTGGGCATGGCTGGGGATGGGGAGTCCGTTGCCGCCCAAGAGGAGGGATCTGCTCACCCATCCGTCTCCGTGGAGGAGGGGGAAGCCCGGAGCCGGCACCACCTGCGTCTGGAGTGGGCCCCGCGGCCCCTGGAGCTGCCTGAGGTGGAGTACGCCAAGCAGAAAGTGCGCCCTCTCCGCATGGCGCCACCGGACGGGCGGGAGGTCCTCACGGCAGCGGAGTTCCTGGAGGAGGTGCTGAAGACGGCCCTGGACCAAGGCTTCCGGGTGGATTCGGTCTTCCCTGACCCAGAGGACATCCTCAACTCGCGTTCGCTGCGCTTTGTCCGCCACTGACCACATGGAGGGGCAGAAGAACCAGCTGGGGTACAAGGGACGGGGGGGGCTGCTCTCACCTGACCACAGTGGTGGACGCTGGTAAGTGACCGGGATTGGAGATATCAAGAGATGGTGGTTGGTGGCAGTAAGGGGATAGAGGTAGATGGGAATGGTGGTTGGGGGCCCATTGGTCCCCTTGCGCTGTAATGAGGCATGCTGGCAAGGGGGTGTGTGGATTGGTGCATGAATGGTGGGGGGGCGATGGGATGGGGAAGGTTGCTAAGTCTGGATGGATCCTGAAATGACAACTGGTGGCAGGAAGGGGGTGGTGGGGCTCTAGATGAAACCATCTGTCATGGTGGTAGATGGGATGGGGAGTGGGGGGGCTGGCTGGTGATGGGTGCTGTCCCTGGATGAAGTGGCAGGTGAGGTGAGGGTGGATTGGTGGTAGGAAGGCGGGGGTGGGAGTAGATAGGTGGTGGGGGCAGGGAGAAAAGGAGTAGGTGAGAGCTGGGGATGGACTTCCTGGTGGGTGTTGGGGTATGAAATAGGATCCTGACTGGTGACGTTGGTGGCAGCAAGAGGATAGTGGGGTTGGTGAGGTGGGGAACAGGGAGGGTGACGGCGGGGGCGAGGCAGATAGGCTAAGAGGGGGTGGAGAGGTCCATTAGTGGAGGTTGTTGGGGGGGGCAAGAAAATCACTTCTGGTGGTAGGAAGGCGATGGGGGTAGATGGGATTGGGGGTGCAAGGAGGGTGGGTCCTGGAATTGGGGGGGGGGGGCAGGGAGGTGGGAGCAGTGGCTGGATCCCAGGCAGGGAGTGGCCGGGGGTTGGGGGATAGTTTCTCCCCTATATCTTGGTGTTAGCAGTGGGATACTTGCAAGTCTACAGTGTGTTTGTGGGGAGGCATTGTGGCAAGAAGCCCTGCAACTCCCTGAATGGCCATTGGGGGTATTTGGCATTGGATAACTCATAACCACACCCCAAATCCTGGGTTTTGGTGGGTGGGGCAAAGTGATTTTTTGGGGGGGGGGTGGCTTTCCTTCATTTACCTCTGAGCATTGGGGTCCCCCTGGATATTTCTGGGGAGGTCCCTGGATTTATTATGAGATGGTGAGTATGGGGGGGGGCTCTGCTTATATAGAATGGATCATTGTCTATTTTGGGGGTGCTGGCAAGGGTACCCTTTATTTTGGTAGGGTCTCCTGACTTTCATGGGCAGGCTGTGTATGTTGGGGAGGGGGACTGACTGTTTCTCCAGGAGGTGAATGGATCCTGCCTCACAGATATGGGGTGCTGGGGGGAGTCCCCCCAACGCCTGGGGGGAGGGAAATAGGGCTGAATCCGTCTCTCGCTTCGGACAGGCCTGGACAACAAAGCTGGCTTTGTACCCTGGTGCCTGGTATTATAATGCCCTGCTTTGTTATGGGGCTGGGTTGGAGAGTGGGGGCCAGTGGGTTAGAGCAGGGGGGGCTGGGAGCCAGGACTCCTGGGTTCTCTCCCTGGCTCTGGGAGGGATGGGGGGGCAGGACGACTGTGTTTTAATCCTCACCAATTCCTCTCTCTCTCCCTTCCGGCTCCTTTCCAGAACCGATTCTCTGCCTCCCGATGGGTCCTGCGTCTCCGTTGCTGCCCTGGGTTTTGGGGAGCGGAGCCCAGCCGGGGTCCTGACCCACTTCCCCCACAGCTGGGAAATGAAGACCCTGGGATCGGAACCAGCCCCCTGACCGGCGGGGGGTGGGTCACAAGGGACTTCCAGCTGCCCCGCCCAGAGCTTGAGCTGCTGCTTGTGGGGGGCAAGGAGGGGAGGATGGTGACCTTTTGGGGTGACTTATTGGTTAATGCCTGTATCTGCACTTTAAGGTTATGTTGCTATTGTACGTTTCATTCCCCACCCCCATGGCCCTACCTTCCCCCCCTCCCCCCGCCACTGTATGGGGGCAGCTGGGAGCCGGACTCCTGGGTTCTCTCCCTGGCTCTGGGAGGGGAGTGGGGGTTAGTGGATTAGAGGAGGGGGGGGGGCTGGAAGCTGGACTCCTGGGTTCTCTCCCTGGCTCTGCAAGGGGAGTGGGGGTTAGGGGGTTAGAAGAGGCGGGGCAGGGAACCAGGATTGCACCTTTTAGCGTTCCAGAGATCTCTGTTGGGTAGGGTGGAGAGGGAAGGGGTAGGCCGCTGGGCCCCCCTCCCCCCACAAAAAAACCCACCCATCTCTGGCAAAGCCAAGTCGCCCGTGTCCGGTGTGGGACTCGGCTATGGCTGTCTCTGTAAGAGGGTGGGACTTTCCCCGGCCGGGGGCGAGGCCTAGGAGCTTGGGGAATTGCAAGTGGGGACCCAGGAAGGGCCCTCGTGCGAGCGGGGGATCTTGGCACGAGTCATCTGCCCCTCGTGTATTTGCACAGACCTGGCTCCCTGGTGCATTTGCAGACCCCCACTGAGTGGGTCTGTGCCCACGGGGCCTCGGTCCGTTTGAACGAGTGGCTTTGCACCCACGTCTAGCGGAGTGGGCCAAAGGGCTTGGGGGTGCTGAGTGCCTGCTAACGTGGGGGCCGGGCCCCTTTGCACACCTGTCTGTAACCTCTGTCCATGCAAAGTTGCGTGGAACAAAGCAATGTCCTGAAGGCGGTGGTGTGGGAGTTGGCTTTTTTCTGGTGTGTGGGTCTTGCCCCCTCGGCCCAGGGCTAGAAGGTTCTGCAGTAGCTGAACCCCCACTAATCCTTTGCCACATGTGGGGATCTCTGTGCACATATCACACTGCCCCCTTCCCCCCCCTGCAAGCTACACACCTATGGGGGGGCGGGGTGATCTGTGGAAAGGGGGGGCTTGTAAGATATCACACGGGGGGGCTCTTTTATTCCTTTCTTCCCTCCCTCATTTCAGTGCGGGGGGGGGGTAGATTCGTGGCTTGCTTGGGAGGAGGAGAAGCCCTTCCCCCTCAGGTGAAGCCCCGCCCTAAAGCCTGTGGGTGAGTGGCCCTTTAAGAGCAGAACGGTGAATCATGGGGGGGGGGCTGTTGCCAAGGGCAACGTTTGGACGCTGGTGGGCGCCCGAGAGGCGTGGGGGGGAACCCACAGGGGTGCGCGCCCTCCCCTCCCTCTCCCGCCGGCTGCCCCTTTAAGGTAGCCCTCGTGGCAGGCAGGCGGGGCGGAGCGTTTAGAACGTCCGGCGACGAAGCGTTCCGAAGGCCACGCCCCCTCCCTCCCTCCCTCTGCCCGAGCGTCGCCCCTTTAAGAGCCGCGCGCGTTGGGGCGGGGCGTTCAGAACGCTGGGGACAAACAAATGGCTACAGCGCGTTCCAAAGGCCACGCCCACCTGGCTTGCTGGCCACCCCCACACACTGGGTGGCTCCCGCCTCTGCTGCCCCCTAGCGGCGCCCCCCGGCGCACCCCTGCTCCTGGCCCTAGAGAAATCTGACCCCCATCTCCTCCTGGGCCTGGCCCCACTTTCCCCCCTCTATGGGGCCAGGATGGGGAACCGGTGCCTCCCAGCAGGCCCTGGCAGCGGCTGCCCCCTGGGGTGCCCACTTGGCTCCGTTCCCCTGGCCCCCCCCGCTGGCTGCCCCCCTGCTGCTGGCCCTCGCTCTCCTGGCCCCACAGGCCCAGGGCTGTGTTCAGTGCCGGGCGGGGCACCGGGACATCCCAGCCCGTTTCGCCCGGCTGTGTGCCCGCTACCGCCAGGTTCACGCCCGCCCGGGCTGCCCCAGCCGCCCCTGGGGCCCGGAGTCCTTCAAGGGGTTTGCCCTGGGTAGGGTCCCCTCCTCTAGCCCCGGGTCTGGGAGGAGAGTGGGGTGTGTGTGTGGGAGCCAGGATGCCTGGGTTCTTCTCATAACCTTCACAGTGTGCAGGGGGTATGGCCTGCCCTGTCTAGACTCAAATCAGGCTGTTAACTCTGGTCCCTACTGACAACCGATGTTTCCTGCTCACATGAGCAGGTCGTCCTGGATGCAAGATTGAACCCAGAGTACCAGACTGCCCCCTCGGGAGCTGGAACCCCTGCGTGCCCCATAGATTAACTCCAGCAGCCCCCGCCCCGAATCCCACCCTGTACCCCCTCCCGCAACCCTTCCTCTTCCTCCTCCAGATGAGCAAGCCATGGATGCGGTGACTGAGAAAACTCACCGAGTCTTGCGTCTCATTGGTAATACCCCCTCCCCTACAACCGCCCCCCAGAGTGGGGGGGGGGGCGAATAGACTGAAGGGGGCCATTCTCTGCCCCAACAGAGGGAGCCCGGGGTGGGGGGCAGGATGGCATCAAATGTGCACCGTCGCTGTCCCCCCAGAGATCAACCGGACCCTCTCGGATCTGCCCAAGTTCTGGGACTGGCTGCGGGAAGTGAAGCTACTGGAGTACAGCAAGGAGGG